TACTTGGCCTGCTCTGTGTCCAAGTAGAGAAGTAGAGTACTTTATCCCTCCTTTTGGTACGGCTGGAAAACCCTCTGCCTTATGCCTTAAAAAAAAAAAAAGAGAGAGAGAGAAGAGTGTAGATTGGTTTGGCTCAGTGGATAGAGCTTTGGCCTGGGGATTGAAAGGCCGGCGGTTTGATTCCAGTCAAGGATGAAAGAGCGAGAGGAGGAGGAAGAGAGAGAGAGGAGGAGGAAGAGAGCCAGAGGAGGAGGAAGAGAGCGAGAGGAGGAGCTTTTAGGAGAGGAGGAGGAAGAGAGCTGTGCTTTTTTTATTTTAGAGAGAGAGTGGTCATGTGAGCCAGCTAATGCATTAGCAGGTGAACTAGCTTTCCCTGCCAAATGAGTCAGCTCAGATGGGAACATTAATTTATTTGAACGGATAAGAGTTGACAATACCATAAAGAGGTATGCGTATAGCTTAATGGAACAGCTGCCAAGAAAACAGAGGTTGAGCCTGGTGTGATCTGGCAAGCATCAGAATGTTTTCTTGTTCACAAGATCTCCGCTTCCTAATCTAGACCACTCTCTCCTGGATTCCTCTGCTAAAACGCAAATACTCTTAAAGAAGCGGTGCCTTCAGCTATTATCAGCTATTAGTATTAGATTGAAATTGCTGATATTCAAGCCTTTGCTGATATTCAAAGCTACAGAAGTGGCAGTTTTATTTGATTTAACACCATATCTTATTAGGGATAGTTCATCAGACAGCTTGTTATGGAACCGAGGAGAGAGAGGACAAGAAATCTTGGAGACAGCAAAAGATCTGGAGTATGAAGTATTGCCTCAAGTCAGCCATGTTATCAGGGTCTGATAACACCTCCCTCACTCTGGACCAGGGATTTTCAACCAGTGTGCTGCACGAACTTTTAAAACATGCAATGCCAGACCATTTAGTCGGCTCTATCCACTGAGCCAAACCGGTTAGGGCAACACCACATCTTATTAGGGATAGCTCCTCAGACAGCTTGTTATGGAACCGAGGAGAGAGAGGACAAGAAATCTTGGAGACAGCAAAAGATCTGGAGTATGAAGTATTGCCTCAAGTCAGCCATGTTATCAGGGTCTGATAACACCTCCCTCACTCTGGACCAGGGATTTTCAACCAGTGTGCTGCACGAATTTTTAAAACATGCAATGCCAGACCATTTAGTCAGGGGCACTGACCTTTTTTCCCCTTAGATTGTAAAATTTAAAAAATGACAACAGGCAACACAACAATAGCCCGGTGGTGTGAATGAATCAATATTATATATTTGTTGTCAGATTGGCAAAAAGTATATTTTTTGGTGTGCTGCAGAATTTTAGTAATTAGTTTATGTGTGCCATGAGATGAAAACGGTTGAAAATCACTACTTTAGACAGAGTAATTCTGTTATTGCTCCCAAGATTACATTCAACTGTTCTGGTGGCCATTTATTGCACTCAGGTGAGGCTCAATGCTGATGAAATCCCCCAAACTTTTTCACTTAGGTTAATTCTAAACCATGTTTTCTATGACTTGCCTTTGAAAATTGTTTTTTAGCATCTATTTAGTCTAGGATTTAATGTTAATCTCTGTAAAAATTCAACCAACCACTGGTTTCTTTAATTATCTTCCCTATCAAGATATTTCACAGTAGCGTAGGCAGCATTTTCCCCCCCAAATCTCTCAAATTTCACACAATGAAACATGCCCATCTTTTTCTGAACTTAATGTTCAGAAAGTCCATGATATAGATTTGAGCATCCCCAACATTCTCTTCTTGCTTATAAGAAACACCTTTATTTTTGTGCTTCAGTTTTAAAATGAGGGACTTAAGACTACATGGCCCACAAGTTCTCATAAAGCACTATTTTCTATGACTCTATTATCTACAGGAAATCGCACAGATGAGCAACAATTGGAGAATTTGTGAAGCATCGCTTTCCCAAGCATACACGCCTATGAGGAGGATCAGAGAAGGGCCCCAGGAATGCAACTCTGGAGGAGCCAGAGGCAAATTTGTAATAAAACCAGAAATTCTCATCATTTTTGAGTCTCGTTAGTTAACAGCCCTTGGAGCTACATACATGGGTAATTGAGGGCAGCATGAAAGTTGGTCTAGAAAGTTGGGGTCTTATTATATAGCATTTGGTAATCGTCTTCTCTCTTGACCCCAGTTACAAACAGATAAAAGGAGATAAAAGCATTGGAAGCCAGATGAGGGAAGTTGCACTCGGAATATACATCTACTATTTCATGTGTTCAGCACTCTACTTTTCTATCTACATGGTTTCTGCTGGAGCTGCCATGTTTATTCACTCATTTACTCAACAACTATTTATTGAGTGCTATATCTGACACTATTCCAAGCCCTGGAGCTATAGCAATGGAAAACGCATACACAAATTCCTCATAGAGCTTACATTCTGATGGAGGAAATAATACATTAAACAGGATAAGTAAATATTTGGTCTGTCAGATGACATGTGCTATGGGGGGAAAAAAACAACCACCAAGCCGGAAAGGGAGTGAGGAAAGTACAGTGGTTGAGGGATAAAATGAATGAAGCACAATGTTTTGTAGGTGGTCAGGAGTGTCTTCATCTTGAATATTTTTGGAACTGGGTCAAAACAGGATGGTTTAAACCAAGAATGTGAAATGAGGAGTGGGGGGGGGGTGTGAGGGGGAAAGAAAGCCTGTTAGAATCAAAAGAGAAGAATGAAGAAGACATAAGAGGGTAGCATAAAAGGAAGATGTGGAGGGAGAGAGAACTTCCCAGAGTCTGCATAATATTCCAATATACTTCTGATAAATCCTTTTAAAAACATCCTTCTGATAAAATCCTAAGCTGGTATGAATCAATTTCTGTTACTCCCAAACAAAGAATTCTAACTCATACACATATTAAGTAAGATAACCTATAAATTCAAGGCTTGCCCAATGTAGATGTGGGTTACTTCAGAAAATTAGAACCTGGTGCTTCTGATGCCAAGAATACAGACCTGACAGCAGAGTAGAATTAATTTTGCTGCTCAGAAATAAATGTTGCCGTTCGGAAATAAATTCTGCTGTTCTAGCATCCCAGAAATAAAATGTGCAAGAAATATCCGTTTCTTTTTTTTTCCCTTTTAATCAAATTAGCTCTGATTCTGCTTTGAACTCGTGGAACATTCAAATGGAAGTATAATTTCATCACCCCCCTACTTCTGCCCTCCCTTACTCCCCACACCCCGGAGTCACGACTGCATTAGGGGAGCTTACTGATGTCTAGACACTGGGTAAAGGCTCTGTAGTCTCCACGTCATCATTGCTCAGGTCTGCTTTAAACTTCCTCGCGCAGCCCCTGGCTCTCTGTTTCTAAGCCAAGGGGAGAAATCTTTCCCGAAGCTAGAGGGTGCTTGCTCCCTGGGGGCAGCCATCCCATCTGAAGTCACGCCCCCTTCCTGGAAACTCTTGAAGTTGGCTCAGGTATCCACTAACCCTGGGACCTGACAATCTTTCACTTTCTCTGTCCTGGTTCTTGAAATAATTCTCTTCTCTTCTGGCCTCTTTCCCCTCCCCGTTGGCCCAGGCATAATGTTTTCACTTAGCTTAGGCTTTTATAATAGACCACAAGAGTGAGTGACTCCCTTTTAGGAATTTCAGCTTCTTTCCACCCTGCAAAAACTCCCCAGAGATTTTTTTTCCGGCCTTTCTTTTTTGTGGTATGATTTGCATAACATAAAATTGTCCCGTTTTAGTGTACGGTTTCGTGGCTTTAAGTACATTTGCATTGTTGTGCACCCCAAAGGTTTAATGGGAGGTCTGATTGAAATGGGGGGATGGTGAAAACAGAGGAAGAAACAAAGAGTTTTTAAAATATTATTCTTTCATGTCTTTGTGGCACTTCAAATGGAGTCCCCTAACAGGTGAATCTGAGAAGCTAAGAGGCATCTTTAGGATGTTAGATATTAATAATGTGCAAGAGGAGGAGGAGGAGGACGGGCGCCTGTCAGGAAACTTGGGGAAACAACGAAGGAAAACCTTATCTGCCTGACAACACTCACAATATGACTTAATGCATCTGGAGCAGAAGTAAAAGGAAGAACTGTTCTCCGCTCTGCCGTGGGCCAGGACCAGAACCATGTCCCTGAATTGGGTTGGGGAGCGCCTATCTCCCAGAGGCCTCAGATGGAAAGGAAAGTTCCATTTTATGAACTACAATAATGCCGTTTGATACCTAAGCATCGTGTTACAAAGGGATGCAATCCACAGAAGAGTTAGAATTTAAAATCTTGGAATTATTAAGATTTACACTTAATGACTTGTAAGGGTTGGGGGGGGGGCGCGGAGAGTGCCTGAGGGGTGTCAAAATAGCCCACGTGATTTAGCACGGGCTGGGCCGAGGCGTTTCTTTCGGGGGCTGGAGGACTCTGTATCCATTCATTCGTTTCCAAATAATTCCTCACGTGCCTGCTGTGTGTGAGGCACCGAGGAACCATACGGCAGGGAACAGGCGAGTAGGTTCGTTCCTCTAATAGAGTTCACATTCAGGTGTATTTTAATTCTAAAGCCGCGAATCCAAGAGCACAATACACTAAATGAAGCAGTGAACCTAGAGAGCCACGGTTCTTCACAAGCCGCAGCAAAAGTCAGAATTTTAAGTTTTCTATTTTTGGGTGCTGGGTTTTAGTTAAGGGCGACGGGCAGGTGGGATGTGAAGACATTTCCCGCCGAAAATATACACAGACTTGGTGTTTGGGTTCGACAGCTTAGCTCTTGCGATTAAAAATGACACCTACGGCACCGCACTAACATTCTCTAAGAAGCAAACGAGATTATAGGAGAAAAACCACTTACTCCATCACAGCCCTCGGAAGGCACAGCCGCCTCTCAGCCAGCTCAGGAAGGCCATGGACTACAATTCCCAGAAGCCCTTGCGACCCACCCACTCGGCAGCACAGCTTCGGAGTCGGGCGCGCTCCTTGTTGCGTCATCCGGGTGCGACGGCAGATACAAAACAGACCGGGGCTACAAAAGCATGGCCTCTGCTGAGGCGGCGGCGTGGTCATCGTCGTCGTCTTTGGAAACAGACTCAGCCCCAGTCCCTGAAACTGTAGGAACCGCTGCAGCCGCTGCGGTCGCGGCCGCGGCCAGGATGGGACCCGGAGCCAGGGTCTCCAAGGCCGCTTTGGCCACGAAGCTGCTGTCCCTGAGCGGCGTGTTCGCCGTGCACAAGCCCAAAGGGCCCACTTCAGCCGAGCTGCTGAATCGGCTGAAGGAGAAGCTGTTGGCAGGTATTGCAGCCCGGGTGGGGGCCAGGCGGAGAGCGGGAGCCACAGAGAGCACCCTGGCGTCTTGCGCGTTCAAGGCTCAAGAGATGAAAGGAAAGGGAGAATGTTCGCTGCGTTAGATCTGGACAGACATCTGGGGCATCTCGGGCTTGCATTCGAACGCCTGTAGCCTAGTTGGCAGTTGTCTCTCTCAAGGGAACGAAACACAACACAACGAAGCCCGCGCGTACACAAATACACCCCGGCACGTGGCCATGCAGAGCAGTTTGCTGTAATCTGACCCTGGAGGAGCCTTCGGTTCAGTTCACGTCGGTGAACGCCACCCAAAGGAAGCACTGACTCCATACCTCCCAAGTTGCATTGAAGATAATGTTGGAAATGCAGACACGTGTTACTTTTGTTAACCAAGGTTTAATGCAGAGATTTTCACATAGCGGGCATAAGAAGTCCTTAGAATCCCTTGTACAAGTACAGATTCCTAATCCCTGCCCTCCCAGAGCTTGTCATTCTAAGGATTGGGTATTTTTAGGAAACTGTATTTTTAAACGATTGCTCCAGGTAATTCTGGTGTCAGTAGTCTAGGGGCCACATTTTGGGAACACTAACTATAACTTGGTCACTTCTGTAGGAACATTCTTTTTGTTTGCTTTGTCATATGCACATTTGAAAAGCCTAAAGGTTCTCTCAGTTCATCTGCCTAGTAGTTCATTTCAAACAGTGGCATCAAGGAACCTTAGCTGTTTATTGGACGCCTTCAATAAACCCGATCTGTGTTAGCCTGTAGGGATGTGAAGATGAAAGTTACTGTCATCCCTTAACTGAGCTGGTAGCCTCGTAACTTCTGCAGACTTTGGTGGTAAAACTATAGCTAGATATGTGAGGCCCTCCAGACTTTGGTCCTGGCTTGTCTTTTCATTCAACCATTGCAGGAACTATCTGTCTTACGTCGTTTCGTATCTCCTGGCAAACTTCACACTTTCGTTTAAATGCAAAAACAAATTATCCTGCTAAGAATTTGTTTGTTGAAACATACAGTTACAGATTTAAATGTTTATTGGCAATAGGTACCCTCTTGCAGATGTTTAATTCCAGTTTTATATCGACTCCTTCTTTTGTTAAACTGTCCTTATACTTTTGTTACCTGTAGGGATGGGTGACAAAGGAGATGTTGAAAGAAGGAATTGCATCAAGGGCAAGCTTTGTGGAGTTGTTTCCTTTCAGCAGAATTGCTGCATTCATTTGGCCCGACTTGTTAGCTAAACTTGAAGGCTTTTTTTGACCCTCAAGGTAATGAATACCATTCTTTTCCTTTGACAGAGTTCTGATAGGATCAAAGCCATATCCTGGCTTTCTGGTTAATCTGCCTCCAAGAACTGAAGTTTCTTCTTGAAACTTGGTTAAAACTGATGTGTCAGGGCATTGCTGGTTGTGTCAGTGGCTTCTGCCGGAAGCTACTCACTCAGATATAGACATTCTCATTGCTACTCTCCATTTCTGTATTGCTTGTGATTGGCCTATTCTGTATTTATATTAGCTAGACCAAAGCTTTCCAAAAGCATTTCTGACTGGCTATTGTAATTACCTGGGACGGTTCTTAAAGAGACAGATTTCAGGGCACCATAATCTAATGCCAGCCGGTTTGACAACCCCAATCAGTGATCATGACCTCTGTGTATTAACATTCCTTGCCTTTCCTTACATTGATTCATGTCACCCTAAAATCCCTGCTCTTCTTTGTCTGTTTGACTCTTTCAAGGCCTGAACATCACAATTTTAGGCTAGAAAAGACCATACTAAATATTCATCCATGAATGGTACCAGTGGGGTGAACCAAACTCCAGTATAGTAGAGTGGTATGTCTTCAAACTTGAAAGAGGTAAATTTGGACACAGAAGGAAGACAGTAAATTTACAGGCCTTTCTACTCCAAGGAATGTCAAGCTGAAAAGAGAAAGAGTTCCCCAAAAGGCTTCTATAAACTCATGGATGGGAGATCCCTAACAGGTTGTAAGTGAAAGGAGAAGAGTCGGAAGCCTAGGTCAGGCCTTACAGATTTATATGAAAGCAGACAGCCATGCCCTTCCAAGCGTGGTGTGTCGTACTCAGAGAGTGGCACTAAGACTGTATCCCAGAAGCCATGGTTCTGTCTCAATAGGGTGGTAATTTTGTGGTAAGTCTGAGCAACCTAGCACAGTTTTTTTGGCTTCTCCACTATTGCTTTGTTTGGGCCCCTTTCCTCCCCCACCCCCACCCCCCCATCTCTTTTCATTTTCTTTTGCTGTGTCTTCTATCTTCTTGGTGTCAGTGGTGATAAGGAAGGTTTGGCTGGCTTAGGTGGTGTGGATCAATACAGCTGTTCCTGCTCCTCTCCTTTCTTACTTCAAGTCCAGGAGCCAGTATTCTTTCAATATATTCTTATATGCCATGATAGTAACAACTACCTACAGGTAAAGTGCTTTGCCATTTCCAAAGCACTTCCAGATAACATTATTTCAATTTATCTTTACAAGAGAATATGAGATAGACCAGGTGGGCATCCTCTTTTTTGTTGTTGTTGCTCTTTTTATTTATTTTTCTTTTGGAATCTTCTTTTTAAAGAAAATATTTTTATTGATTTGTTTTTAGAGAGAGAGGAAGGAAGAAGGAGAGAGAGAGAGAGAGAGAGAGAGAGAGAAACATCTGTCGGCTGCCTCCTATATTCCCCCCACCTGGGATTGAACCCTGGGGAACTGGCCTCCTTTTGGTACATGGTACAACGCCCAACCTTCCAGGACTACCCACTTTTAAAAAAATACTAATTTTTTCCTGATGAGAAAATGAATCCCAGTTTCTAGATCACTGATTTGGGAATACCATAATTTCTGTAATTTAGGGAGTATCTATACATTTTTAAATCCGTTTTTTTTTTTTTTTGCTAGTAATGTTGTCATAATCTAAATATGTCAAGTTTATAAAACACTTTTTATTTGTTTTAAATACTCCTTCTACCCTCACCCTCCCATGTTTGTGAAGACGCGGCTTCATCTGCTTTGGTCTTCCTTCCCATTTACTCTCCTAGAAGCAGGAATGCCTTCTGCAGAATTAACCAAGAGGAAAAGGCAGACCTTGAAAATCGGGCACGGAGGGACTCTCGACAGTGCAGCCCGAGGAGTTCTGGGTAAGAGATGTGAATGGAAGTTTAATATAACTGTCACTTAGTAAGAAATACATATGGACTGAGAACAGATAAGATAGAGATAAGACAAAGCCATGCCATTTTCAGTCCCTTTTGGCATATTTCAGATCAACTGGCCTTCCCAGATTCAGCTGAAATGCTGTCTCCCACATGGGAAGCCTGCCCACTTGCTTCTCTGTGCTGCTGACGTAAAACTTCATTCTGGTCTTTGTTTCTGTTAACTCCCTGAGCTGAGAACAGGTCTTTTTATTTCTGTACTTACACAACAGACACCACAGAAATTGGAATATGATTTTTTTGATCGATTTAATGGGGGAAAGTTGAGTACAATTTTTGTCCAGTAAACTGTCCCTTGAATGAAAGCTGCATGGTTGGCTGGGTTTCAACTCCAGGTAATTTTTCTACGTACCACTTCTGGATTAATCTTCCTAAAATTCTACTTTCACCGGTCACCGGACTTCTACGGGCCTTGGTTTACTTGGGTACAAAATGAGAGGGTTAAGCTGGGTAACTCTAAGATGCCTTCTTGTTTCAGATGTCATTATTCTGGATGACTGACCTAGTGGAGAAATCAGTTCAGCATTTCAGCCAGGCCAAAGCCTACCATGCAGCCTGCTCCCAAGACCCCCTGCACTCTGACTGATAAACCCACTGTGCCCGTCCTTGCATTTTTAGAACATGCTCCTCTCTTCTCTGTGTTCAAATCCTGTACCTCCCTGTTTGAAATGCTTGAATGAAGTGTTCTCTGGCCCTGTCAGCCATTTACAGTGCAACTTCCTTTCCCTCCTACAGCAGTGGTTCTCTCTGTGTTCAATTTGACATCTTACCTAATAATAGACAAACATGTAAATTAACCATCCCTCCACTACACTCACCAGCCAATCAGGAGAGTATGCAAATTAACCCAACAAAGATGATGGTTAATTTGCATATGTAGGGGTGAAGCAGTGGAGCAAAGACTGAAGGCTCCATCCTGAGCGAAGGCCTGGGTCCTGGGTGCCGGAGGAAAACCGGTGCCGGCAGCCAGGGGAAGGGAAGGCCTATTGCATGAATCTCTTCGTGCAACGGGCCCCTAGTTTAATCATATTCTGTGATATTGTTATTTAGTGTCATTCACTCATTAATTCAGGCAACTTTTTTGGGGGGGCGCTTGTGAATTCCCTTGTCTGTGTTTTATTTTCCCAATAAGATTATAAGCTTTTTCAAAGTCCGAAAATGTGCTATTCCATTTGAAGTCTTCTTCTTGGGACTGTGCACATCGTAGCTGCTTAAGAAATACTGTTTGGAGATTCTTGACTGGAACAAATTGCATTGAGTCTTTGTTATTATTATTATACAAAGTTTTGCCTCAGCAGTAGCAGCTACCATCTGAAGAGTGCTATGCTCCTCAGAGCATATCGGAGGCAGACAGTTGTTATCTTAGTCCTGAAACTAATATTACTCTTATCATGGATGCTTAAAGGGGGTTGAGATAGACTTTATGAAGGAGTTGGGATTTGAGCTGGGTTCCCAAGTGGACTTTGAATACTTGGCTTAGGAGTTGGTACTGTAGGCTTTGGGACCCTATTGAGGATTGTTGGGGTAGGGGAGGCTTTGTAGTGTACAATATAGGTTTTCAGAAATGGCAGGAATAGGTAGAGGAATGTGTAAGATGTAGGAGTCAGGTTTGCAGTGGTTTAGGCCAGTGGTCGGCAAACTGCGGCTTGCGAGCCACATGCGGCTCTTTGGCCCCTTGAGTGTGGCTCTTCCACAAAATACCACGTGTGGGTGCACCCATACAGTGTGATTGAAACTTCGTGGCGCATGCGCAGAAGTCGGTTTTCGGCCTAGGCAAGTCTATTTTGAAGAAGTGGCATTAGAAGAATGGAGGTACATTCGCTGAGGTCGACCCCTCAGATTGAGGACGTTTTTAGCAAAGGCCAGCTTAGGAGTACCCTAATGAAGTTAATAACAATGTACCTACCTATATAGTTTAAGTTTAAAAAATTTGGCTCTCAAAAGAAATTTCAATCGTTGTACTGTTGATATTTGGCTCTGTTGACTAATGAGTTTGCCGACCACTGGTTTAGGCAGATTTAGGCTGGTGGCAGGCAGTGGGAAGAAAGCCTGGATGAGGAAGGTGGGAGGGAGGATGAAAAGGAACAGCTCTGCTCTTAGCCAGTCTGGTTTGAATTTTAACTCCATCTCATTCTAGTTGTGAGATGCCGGGCAAAGTTCTTAGTCTATATTTCAACTTCCTTATCTATAAAACAGGGACAATTGCATTACCTTTTAGGGTTGTTATAAGGATTAAATGAGCTAATGAATGGAAAACATTTAAAGTGGAATTTGATAATTGGTAAACTCAACGAGTGGTATGCTATAAATATTCATGATAACTCAGCTTGCTGATAATTTCTCCTTGTTACTTCTTGTTATTCTGAATTGTGGTGGTTATATTGTGTTCTTTTACAAAATTGTATCCATTGATGAGAAATATTTCAGTTTTTATGAACATTTGCTCACTGTTCAGTGAAGAAATGATTATATCCTGTGATGCTCGACTAGTGAAATGTGTTATCATGTGGTTAAGTCATGTTTGCCAGTGAAGAGTCAGGTGGGCCATTGTTGTGCTTTATATATGGTCTCTGTGAGCATACATTCTCCAGACTCTCATTTACCACGTGTTCTTCTTTGCGCTGGGTTGATTTGTTAACGATTCTGTTTTCTTGATTGTATAAAGCTGGGCAGTAATCATCTTTAAATGGTTCATTAGCTATGATGATAGCTTTTGCTTTGTTTAATAATGAACTCAGTCAAAAGACTATCATACCATGGCTAATTGTACCATGTATTTTTCACTGATGCCCGTATAAAATTCCAGTGAATCCTTTAAGATTTTTCTAAGACTTGTTATTATGTAAATGACCTGGTTGAGGTTCCTACCATATTTTACACTTTGAGAAAGAAAAAAACCTCTCTCTCTCTCTCTCTCTCTCTCTCTCCAAACAACCTCCCCCCCCCACCCCCCAACATTCCCTCTTCAGAATTTCTTAACTGCATGACAAGTTCAATGGGTTGGAGTATTGGAAGTCCTCAATTTATGCTAAATATATGCTCTTCCCAACTTTACGTTAAGTATGCCAGGAAGTTATGGCCAGGATATGTAGGTATTTTAAAAACCGACTTTTCATAATAGAGTATCCTAATATTTCTTTCTTTGATTTGTAGTGATTGGAATTGGAAGGGGAACAAAAATGTTGACCAGTATGTTGTCAGGGTCGAAGGTAAGAATACTAAAATAGTTTTGTTTTTCTTTTTAACCTTGAATATTTTCCTCAATGACCATGTGTTGGATTTTATCGAGTAAAAAATAAACTATACAAATTGCATGAGTGGGTGGCGATCCTGAGTATTCATCACAGTGTCCACAATCATACCCGAGAATTAAAAATATCGAGACTACAAATTGGAAATCCAAGATTGAAAAACAAATTTGATTCATAAGAGCAAAAACTCTGCTGTGCCCATATTTTTAAAAAATCATATCTATTTTTTTATATAATTGTATTTCTTAGATGCAAGGGAACTTATAGATCATAAATTCCATTGGCAGATTTAATAAACCTTGGAATTTTTATAGAAACAATACCATTTTGTAAAAGGTGCACTTTTCAACAAACACATGCTTTGTTCAGTGGTTGCAAATGTTTGCTAAAGAGAAGAATTTGGCTTCTTTAAGATGCTAAGTTACATCATTCACCTGTGAGTAGCCTTGACTTTTTTGAGGCTCTTGAAAGGAGGGACTGTGCAGTATTGGGGGAGGCCTGAGACCTGTGGACTGCGTCCGGTTTTCAGTGAGGAACCTTCAGGAGGAAACAGCGGGTGAAGGAGAGTGAAACGAGATGTCAAAGTGGTTAACCCTTCTGGGCCTCTCAGGTTTTCCTCAGGAAAAATGACTTGATCCTCTCTAGGGCCTCTTCCGGTTCTAAGAGATAATAACCTCTGTGTTCGATTAGTTACTAGGGTATAATAGTCGGGGCTAGGGACCAGTGAAAATGCCTATGGGAGGACAGTTAATAGGCCCTTAGGTGGAGAAGAATTTCAGCAAGTTGCTGGACTAAGCTTTTTGTTTTAAAACCCTTTCTCTGAATGGGATATAAATAGTTGGTAAAGTGATTTTTGTCTAAATTGTTTTGTCTAATTTGTTGTTGTTTTTAAAGGTGGTAAAAGACTGTTTAAAATTGTTGTTTAGTTCATTGTAGACCGATTGATGACTTTTGTAAAATGTAATGAAAATGTTACAGCATTGTCACATTGCTGAATAAATTTCTAAACGCCTTCATTTTCTGAAAGTAATCTTGTCATGGACATTGGATCTTGGACCACACTTTGAGTGGCAATGGTCGAAGTTAGCTTTTCTTAAAATAAAAAGCCCTGGAGAGTGTAATGCCTTTGACATTACATTTTAGTTACCAACTGTCATAAAACCTGTCTCTTTCCGTTGAAATGGATCTTAACGCCTTAGATAAACGGAAGAATTCAGTGTTGCTCGCTCTGCAATCTTGAGAATGTTGGTGTGGAAAAGACACAAAATACAAACATTGTTTTAGAATGCAGGAGTTCGACTGTTTTACAGTAAATATGTACACTGTGCTTAAGTAGTGACACACAGAGCTTAGAATCTGTTTCTGATAAATGTATGTGTGTGTGTTTTGCCAGTCGCTTAATATTTGTTTATTAACATTAACTCTAAAGTATAAGCACTAGTAATTTTGATATAGAATAATGGATGATTTTTATTTTCTTTTTTGATATGATTTGGTATTTTCCAAAATCTTTACAATAAACAAGTGACTTTTATAATAACAAAAACAGATATATTTACATTAAGGAATTTCTTTGGGTTTTCCCCAGATAAAATATTTTGAGTTCATTGGAATATTTATTATCCACCCTCAGCCACAAGTATGCAAAACACATTATATGTTATGGAAAGGTTTTACATGTAAATTCCAGGCATATTTCCAGAAATATGATGACTGGAAATGTAAATACATTGTTGGCTCTGGTTTAAGCTTTATTTGTCACAAACCATTTTGGTATTGAACTAGGAAAGCTGAATGTCATACAGTGAAGTCACTAATCCTCAGTAATTTAAATGGAAAATCCCAGGTGCCTCTCCTCACAGGAACCTAGTTCTTGGGTGCGTCGCATTTCAAAAGTAGGATTATTGTCTCATTAGCTGTTTGCATTTTTTATACTTTGAGTTTTAGATTGTGTATGTGCTGAAATATTAAATCATTTGAATTTTATCTTTAACTTTGTTGAAGATTATATTTTTCTCAAAAGCAGTTAAAAACTGTTCATGCATTTTAAAAAATAGATTTCGGGAGGAATCTTAGAGATCCTCATGTTCAGGGGCTTTCAAAACTTTTTTTTTTTTAATTTTGTTTTATTGCTTAAAGTATTACAAAGAGTATTATATATGTCTCCCTTTTTTTTTCTCCCCTTGACCAAGACCCAGAGTGAGTAAGAAATTCATTTGACATCATGACCTTATATACACATACATGTATAAAATTTTTATTAAGCAACTTCAACTGGATATAAGGCTGCTCCCATATCTATGTGGGAGCACACCATGGTAGTGCCTATAGGCAAAGCCAGCATTTCCTCAGGAGGCAGCTTTTATCTCCTCCAACAGCTGAACAAGTGTGATTGTTGGGGTATATACACTTTTCCACCCTGGATGTGCTCAAGGACAGTAATGTACCCCAAGTATACAGTAGCATGTTTAGGGTAACCAGCCAGTGTCAACCCTGAACGGGACTTGAATAATGCTCCTGTGAAGCGCAGCTGGCTCTCTAAGACCTAAGCATGCCTCACCACTTAATCAACTTGGTCCAGTTTGTACCTTTTCTTTACCCTCTGGTTAATATGCATGCATTTCATTAGCACTGTACTGAAAGTTTTGAAGGGCTTACACCTAGGAACTGTACAAAAGCACTCCTTTTTTAATGAAGGCATTCAAAGCCACATGTTTTTGGTTTGGTAGTGTTTTTTTAAGTGTTCTTCCTCATTCTAAATAATATCCCTTTGTTTGTGAAACTTTGAATCACAGGCTTTCAAAATCAAACTTCAGAAAAAGCAGTGCCTCGTTGAGATGAAAATAATTGTGTACACTCTCTGTAACACAAACATATTCCTTTCTTCTGATGAGTTCAGAAGCC